GGTGAGGAGGGGGGGGGGGGGGGGGGGAGGGAGTGTGCAGTGCATGCATCTGTTGATGATACGGAGCTTTTCAATCTCTGTCCCTGCTTCTTTATACTGTCTGCAGCAAACTGATAGGCAAGCAAGCGAGCAGGGGGCTGATAACAGTGTTTATCACACCATCAGCAAAACAATAGCCTCTCTGACCTGTCAATTAGCTCCAAAAAGCCCTAAGCGGACACTGTTCTGTCGGCTTTCCCAGTGAAATTGGAGAGACACACACAGACACCTCTCAATATTAGTTAGCATACCACATGCCTAGGGTCCATGGGGCTGGGGTCCATGCTGTGGGAGATGGGAAGAAGGGAGGGGGGTTTCTTGCTTGAGCAGTGAGCAGCAAGGGGGGCTGGGGCAGGGGGAAGCCAGGCAGACCCTGCTGTACCTGCAGTCTCTGCCAGAGCTCTGGCCAGGGAGCAGGGGGTTGGGGCCAGTTCTGCTCTCTGGAGCAGAAAGCACAGCCCAGAGAGCATGCCAGGATACTGGGAATCTCTGGTTTAACTTAAACCAGGAAGGGGTCTGGGACAAACATAAAACAGTTTGACCCAAATCAGTTAAGTCTGATACTACTTTCAACCAGGTTTATCTTAAACCAGTGTCAGCCATTTTTAAACTGGTTTATGTGCACTGAATATATGTTCTGTTACAGGTTTAAACCAATTTTTTATCATTTAAACCATTTTATATGTAATGTCTGTCTGTAGCCTGAATGATCAGAATATTTTGAATGTGAGATTATGTGCTGTCACAGTAACTGAACACAGTTTGTTGGTTTGGTGCAATAATTAGATAGCAGATAGAATATCACTCTGTAAAATAGCAACTCTAGATTGACATTAGAGTGTCTCTCATCCTTTCTGAAATCAAACCTATTTTAGGCGGTGCTCTAAATCTGTTCTGGTTTTTAGAGAATCAATCCAACCATTACATTTACATACAGTAATTAACCTGTTTCTTTCTATAAGTGTGACCCTAACTAATTCTGACACTACTGACCAAAGGGAACTGCCACCATAGCCTTAAAAACCCTCCAAAATTCAAGGTAACCTACTGGACTAAGTTCAACAGGAGGCTTGATACATATGGAATCCAAGGTCGTGAGACTAGAGAACAGTCTGTTTCTTAGTGATGGTTGTGGTGTAAGTTTGTGATTCACTATTTTCCAAATCCCCGGTTGTTACTGAGAGCGGTAAGAAGCTTCTCCTTGAGAATTTCTTTGTCTGAATATGGTGGAAGGAATAGGATTTGAAAGCAAGTTTGTGCTTGAGGAAAGTGATCTTCTGACAGAGCCCCATTGAAATAGAACTTTATCCTTATACAATTCATTCCCAGTATAAGGATTCGGTCACTTCCTGTAAGAAACACTGCAGAGCAGAACAGGATTAGATTTTTCTGGAAGGGGATGGTATTAAATTGTACTTTCAAATTACATTTGAAAATATAAATTTTAAGAATTAGTATTATAGATATAGTACACATGATATTTATTATCGTTGACAAAAAAGACAGCATGTTTCATAGGAACCTACTGCTCATAATGCTTTTTTGAATGATATTCCAATTATTTATGGTGCATTGCACCAAACGCCTGGCTAGTAAGGCACACAGACAATGCCCTTATGAAATGCTTGCAACCCAAGGCCTCAGCCCTACAAACACTTACACCAGTGGTTGTCAACTTTTCAGAATAAGAGTACCCTTCCATAACTTTTCTGAAACATGCCCGTATCCCCACCCTTGTGCTCAACTTCTCAGTGGCTCTCCTACCTGCTTTCAGCTTTTCAGGGAAGCCTAATGCAGGAGGTGCACCCATATGTGTCAGCCATTCAGTCAGGCTGTGCACAAGATGCACAGGGCAGTTTTACCTGGCAGCAGTGTTAACCGGTTGAGAACCACCATTGTGCTCAACTTGCCTCAGTGGTTCTCAACTGGTTGCTACTGCTGCTAGGTAAAACTGCCCTGTGCATCTCATGCACAACCTGACTGAAGGCCTGTGGCACATGGTTGCATTCGTCCTGCATTAGGGTTCTCTGATAACCATAAAATCAGGCAGGAGAGGCAGCTTGTGCTATAGCCCTTCCCAATCCGACTCTGTACAGCGTCTCTCAGAAACAGAAGTGTACGAGACAGGTGGAACTGTTCGTGCATTGCCAGAAGGAGCATGGGGGAAAACACATGAACGATGTGTGCCTCCGGAGGCTGGGGGGGCATGGCGACCATCTGAAGGCTGCAGCAGCAGCAGCGGTGGGAGCAGCAATTGGCAACTGTCCACAGGCACCACTGGCAGGGTCAGTGGCGAGGCGGGGGAGCAGTGAGTGGCAACCGCCCACAGGTGCCGCTGGCATTGTCGGCAGCACTTCTCTCAGGGGGTGCACCAGCAATCTCAGGGGGTGCACATGCACCTTCATGCACCCCCTACGCATTGCCAATGGGGGAACAGCCTGAAAAGGGCTACAGCATAAACTGGCTCTCCTACCTACTTTAGTTATAAGGGAGCCCTAATGCAGGACTGCAAGTGCACAGGGCAGCTTTACTTGTCTGTTGCTGCAGCAGTGACAGCATCTGCATTACAGCATCTAAAAGGTCTTGTGGCATGCTGGGGTACCATGGACCCCAGTTGAGAACCACAGGCTTACACATATGCATTGTCTCACTGATAGAAGGATACCAGAAGGACTATTCATGTGCATAAAGGGCTTGAGGCAAAGGGTACTGAAAGTAATGGCAGTATTTCATTCAGATATCATTTTTTACTCTACAGTAATTTTGTTTTGTAGATCCCTAAATCTGTGCCAATGAAGAATGACTCATGAT